TTTCTGTAGCTTGTCCCCTCTCCATTCCTCTGTACCAAGGGAAGTGAATTATCCAGCAACCACTGGTTCTGGAGCAGGAGGAACTCGAGTTGAGGGGTAACTCAATTCCTTTTCTCCTTTCTTCTCTGCTGAACCCACGGGATGAGGTGATGGGGAGGAGACCTATCTGCTGTCTGTCCAAGACTTGAGGTGGGGAAGGGGCTAATAAACAGTGTACTTTCTTTCTGTTCAGAATAAGAATCAGCAGAAGGTAGAAGCTTTTTGACAAAAGCTGTTCAAGCAGTAAAGTGCGCTTTAACGCAAGAGCCGGAGTTGACTTGGTTGCTGTGTCTCCTCTGAGATGGCGCCCCCGAGAGAAGGTCGGAATCTGGACACAGACGTGCTGCTTCCCCAGCACCTCCCACCACGAGTCAGCAGAGAAGAAGGGGAAAAAGGAATCAAATTAGCTCTCACCTCCTCCCGGACCGATGGTTGCTGGATAATCCAGTCTCTTGGTACAGAGGAGTAGAGGCTGGGACAGGAGGCAGGAAGTTCTGTAGCAGCGCTATGAACAAAATAAGAATGACAGAAAGAAGACTGAATTTGGGGTGTGGGAGAGGCAGGAAGGAGGACGTCGTGAATTGAGAGTCTGAGATCTAGTCGTCGGGGACATAGAGATGATCACTTCAGACTGCTTCTTAGATCATATCTGTACTTTTAAATCGGAGTTTGGCAGAGCTCAAGCCACCGGATCGGCATTACAATTAAGAAATCTGTGAGGCACAACCAGAACCCTTCTAGTGAACAGAGTTGCCCATCTAGGCCTTAAGCAAGACCAGAGGCCGTTTGTCAAAGATGCTGAGAGGGTTTCTTAAGGAGCCAAAGGTTGGACTATGACCTGTAAGGTCCTTTCTAACTTCGTCTATTACCGAAGATGCTTAACAAATAATCAATGAAATTATAATATCCTGATAATATTTTATAGCATAAAAATCCATAGCTGCAGTTATACTTCATTTTAAATTAATGGCATACCTGCATGGACGTCATTTGAAGAATATATTCTTCAGATAAAAATGAGATTTGAACTTTATCTGAGCTAAAAGTTTATGGGAAAATAGAATATATCACTGATAGCAATTAAACCTCAATTATTTCTGGATTTGAGTTTACTTTTCTTTCGTTTTTCAGTATAAGCCATGTAGAAATGAATGTTATGATGCATTTTATGTATGGAGGAACCTTGGACTTTCCAGACAAAGCTAATGTTGGGTATGTATCATTTTTTAATGATTTTAAATATAAAGGTATTAATATTTTGTGGCTTCTGCTTTGCTGAGCTATGTCTCAAAGTGTCAATGAAGTAGAAGCTTCACTTTTATTGTCTATTTTGCCATATCTTGTGTACATTTTGGGAATATCTAAAAACAGTAAGTCACCTTTTAAGGACTAAGTTTCCTTTAGAGGAAAGAATGAGCTAGATACTCACAGTGAAAAGATTAAGGAAAGTTTTTATTATACTCCAATTATGTTAGAAAAACCTCATATTTGTTTTGGGAAATAAATAACAGGTTTTTATAAGATAAAATTAATTGAACTTTAATGAACTTTTGAACAATATTTTTACTACTGTATTTTTAAATTTTAGGGTGTCAAAAGAGAAAGACAAAAACGTAAACTTAACTTGAGAATGCAGACACAGTAAAAACTAAGAGTGAAGCGATTCCGGGGCGCCCTGCTGTGAACGCTGCCCCGGCCGCGCGGCCCTGCGGACAGTGAGCGCGCCCCTCGCTCGTCTGGTTTTCTGGACGTTCTCCTCTTATATTGCTGCTCTAACATCAGACAAATGAAGGCTCCTCTTTTAATTTGAAATATTCATTAGTTCCTTTAGTTACAGAGTGAATAAATATGATTTTGGGGAGAAAGTCTTATGAGTCACAGGAAGTAACTACTGAATTTTTGCCCCTGGAAAGCTCTATGAATTTTATCATGGTATTAAGGCTTGTAGGGCCCTGAGTACCTGAAGCACGTGCGGGTGCTCAGGAATACTTGCCAGTTGGAAGAAGCGACGGAAACCCTCTGAGTTATTGGATGTGATCTCCAGTCTTACGTAATTTGTAGGCATTTTCAATATGATAAACTTCAATTAATTCCCCTCCCCCCAAATTTTTATTATTCATATTTGTTGTGAAGAGTAATAACTTTTATAGCCTAGAAGCCATTTCCTGGGCTTTGCTGTGTACGTCACTGAGACCATGAGGGGAATAGATTGAAGCATCTCCAGATACACTTCTTGTCATTCTCCACTCATCAAATCAAGCGGCAGTGCTTTCAATTCTTGATCTGTGTCCTTTTAATAATTTGTAAAGATTATCTGTTATGTAGGGTAGGAAGTTAGAGTTCAAATAATTAAGATTATTCTTTTTTCTAAACAAACTATATGTTATCAAGAAATTGCTGTGTATTATGCCGTGGTTTTTACATTGAAGAATTAACAGTGCATCTATTTTTATTTTAGTCAGATACTCAGTATGGCTGATATGTATGGACTAGAAGGATTAAAAGAAGTAGCAATCTATATTTTAAGAAGAGATTACTGTAATTTCTTTCAGAAGGTAATTATTGAGTCTCAGAAATCTTTTACCCAGTGCTTAAAGTCATCCATTATTACCTACTATATTTTTATCTCTGTTAGTATTGTCAGTTTAACTAATGGGAACTCTAGTTGAGAAATAACTCTTAGGATATGCTTGCAGAAAACAGAAATTAATTCAGATCATTTTAAGTAAAATAAAGTTGAGGGTGGAGTTTGTTGAAAGGATATGGAAATACCCTGTATAATTCAAAGGTGGTGTTTACAGCTGGGACTGAGGGTTTAGGACTAAGAGGAAAGAAGATGGGAACCGGGTTTACCAGAGGGCTGCGTTTACCAGAGGGCTGTGCGGCGCCACGCCAGCTCTTCCCCCTAAAGGACACCCCGCTTCCTGCCGCTCTCCTTACAGCGTGCACTTGGGGTGGCGCACAGCTTTCTTCTCCTCCTCTCCCCAGGTGCCATGTGAATACTGACTTTTTAATTTTAGTTTATGCAAATGGAAATTTATTGTCTAAAGAAAGGTACTATACTATGCATTTCAAAGCCGTTTTGTACATTACTCTTAAATTCTCCATTGTTTTAATTTACTCTGTGACTATAGGTTATTTTTAATTTTCTTATTTTTGTTTTTCTACATTTTCTAAATTTTCTACAATGATCATGTATTACTTTTGTGGTCAACAAAAAACAAATCTAAAAAGAATTGTCTATATCAATATTCCCCTCTTATTGGCTACTTGACGCAACAGTATGCATGTGTAACTTGTAACTAGGTAAGTTCAATAATTTTAATAACATTAAATGTAGATGTTTGTGTTGGACAGGACTTTTCCTACCTCTCTGTAAGCTGTAGCTGAGGAATCACCCTGTGTGCTAAAATAGTCGTGAACTGGCTCTACCACCTCTTCAAGATTTATTGAGAAATAGTTGAACTTCCCAGCTACCTTTAATCAATCGTTCATTCCAGCCTCTATAAGAAAGGGAACCAGAAGAAGGAGCCCAGTCTGTGGTGTCCTCAGCTGTGGGGAAAATGAAAGATTCTGGTGAAAGACTTTTCCTTCTCTTTCGTCATCTTCCCAGCTAAGTGAAAGTTAGGAGGGAGATCCAAGCCTGTCCCAAATAAAGGTTAAAGATAGGGCTATCTGCAGTGAAGAGAGAATGTCTTCTCATCTCCCAGATGGACATCTGTCACAGCTCTACGATCAGCCCACTCCGGAACTTCCATCAGAGAAGGGAAGGTACTAAGACATTGCTTGGAAGAGCCCAGAATGCGTCTCAGGAACCAGTGAGAATACACTTGAATGTGGAGATTTTAAAGGGAGGCGGAGGCTTGCGGGAGAAGCCAGGACCAGCCTGCTGACTCGGGACAGTAGTTACTGTCACATGTAGAAAAAATAACAGAGTCTATCCATCTCAGTTACACACAGCACCCAGGGAAGGGAAAGGACCTTGCGATTCCCTGAAGATCAGAAGAAACTGATGTGGGGTCAGATGACACTGTGTCCCACACAGGAATGCACTGAGCATCATGGACCCTAGAAGGCTCTTTATCCACTGAGAGGCCAGGGTGAAGCTCAGTCTGTCCCTTAATAAGCCGTCACAATAGCAAAGGCCACCAACATCTGATTTAGAGCAGTCAGAGACAGCTTCCCACTACATGCTGGTCACTGGTTAGTTGCATAAGGTGACCACAGCCATCCACAGCCCTTTCCCCCAGGTGAGACCCACAGAAGAGGAGCACAGGCTGTGCTCCACTCTCCACTCCAGATCTCCCCAGCTCTAGGAGTGGTCACCAATGGGGAGGAAAAGATTTACATCAGATATGAGATAGGTGTCTAGATAGTACTACACTGAATTTCCATACCAGAAGCAACCTGAAGGTACTGAAGTTTGCCCATAATCATTAAACGATTGGGGAAAGGGGGGAATTTGACACAGCATGGTTGACAGCACTAATTGAGGAAAAAAGCTTTATGTTAATATCTCCTTTAAACTGAGACTCCTCGGTAAATCAATCACAGCAGACATTTAAAAAAATCTCTTTTGTGAGAAGGGGCCAAGATGGCGGAGTAGAAGGACGCTCGTAGCTCACCCTCTCCCACAAATACACCAAAACTCACATCCACGGACCCACCCAGGCATCCAGAGCACCTGCTGAACTCCAACAGAACATCACCCTCTTCAAAAGACAAGGACGCCCTGAATCTGGTTTTACAGGGGCACCATGACCATGACAGTAGCAAAAGCCACCAACACGTGGACAGCTGCAAGAACAAAGAATTCTTACACCAAGAAGTTTGCAACAACCAACCATACCCCCTCCCCTTTTTAAACATAAAAGGAGCCTGAATTCTGACTTGAGTAGGATGGTTCTCCAAGACATTAGTCTGCTATCTTCTCAGTCTGCCATCTTCTCAGTCTGCCAGCTTTCTGAATAAAGTTGCTATTCCTTGCCCCAACAACAACAACAAAAAATAATCTCTTTTGTGGATTGTCTCTGGAACATTGTCGCTGCTTTTAGTCTGTTCATGAGTATACATCGGTTATGGACAGCTTCTTATTCTTTACTTTCAATAACCAACAGGCACATGAAACAAAGCTCAATATCACCATTAGAGAAATGCAAATCAAAACTACAATGAGGTATCACCTCACACCAGTCAGAATGGCCAGCATTCAAAAATCCACAAGTGACAAATGCTGGAGAGGCTGTGGAGAAAGGGGACCCTCCTGCACTGCTGGTGGGAATGCAGTTTGGTGCAGCCACT